GTAGCGTGTGTGTGGGATGGGGCGTGCACACGGATGCCGGTCTGTAGGCTGAGTGTGGTAGCGTGTGTGTGGGATGGGGCGTGCACACGGATGCCGGTCTGTAGGCTGAGTGTGGTAGCGTGTGTGTGGGATGGGGCGTGCACACGGATGCCGGTCTGTAGGCTGAGTGTGGTAGCGTGTGTGTGGGATGGGTCGACGGGGGTTCTGGTAGTCCTAGGCTTGGGAGCCCCCCGCTGGGCCATGGTGTAGCAGAGAGAGATAGCGGGTGACAGTGTGAAATGAAACACACAGATAGGGAAGTGGGAGACAGGCAGACAGGAGCCAGCCCCTCTGCTCTGTGGAGATTAGCCTGACTCCTTCCCCCCGCCACAGCCAGCCCTCTGCATTCCCTGGGACCAACCCACCCTGGCTCCACTGTTCCCCCAGAGCCCGACCAGCATAGCAGTCAATAACACTCACAGACCTCAGTCACACACACGCACACACACACACTGAGATCAACGCGCACGGGCAGACAAGCATGCTGACACCCATACAAACAAGCATGCCTGCTATTCGTGAAGTCATGACCACAAACTTACAAAGCATCAAAAACTAAAGAAATTAATGGATATAATGAAGATACATACATGCACTAACAAACTGATCTACAACAACAAATCACAAACACACACACACACACTTACACAGTGGTCACAGTGATTGAGCTGAGTGCCCTGAACTTTGGCCTTAACATTCCTGTACCTTTTAAAGATTTATTTCTTGTAAATATGTTTTAACTGGCAATGGTTACGGTTTGACACATAATAATAATAATAATAATAATAATAATAATAATAGCAACAACAACTTTGGCCTCATTCTGTTGCACTTTGGAATACATTAACTGTTTAATACAATTATAAATGAATGAGCTTCCCAGCTAAATCATTTCAAATTTGTGTATTTGTATGAGCATCATTATGTGAATGCAATGATAACAAACGATACAAGCTTTCCCATTTTCTTTTAGTACATATTATCCATTACAATACTGTGTAATCTCAGACGCTCAAAACAGTATGCTTAAAAATGTTGCTTAAATAAGACCTGACTGGTGATCCGCTTTGCCTCTCTCTGGAAGTGTATGGCTGCTGATGGACCGCGCAGCGAAGGTCCTATGGAGTGGACTCAAGAAGCACCTCATTCATAAGGACGGTATCAGCGCTCGTAGTGAGAGACGTGAGTTACACGGTAACGTCGCAATTGGTCGGAAGTGAAATATAGGACCAGCTACGCACTGAGTATGAACTGACAGAGACTCGGGGAGGATCAAGACACATTAATAATAATGACGTGCCTCTTCACATATCGGTGTGAACGAAATATTATTCTACACGTCAGTCTGAAACACCATAATAAACTTTGAAACATTCCTTTAAATTATGGATCTATTATTTTAAAAATGTATTTATAATATCATGTCACATTTTGTTGAAAGTCTTTAGCTTTAATTAATATTTTTATGCATGACTATCCAATTCTTGCTCTAAATTTTTGGCTTGACGTCTTAAAAGACACGTAGCCCTTTACACAACATTCAGTCACAATGGGATAATTATGTTTAATACGTGTGAGTGATTTCATCACACTTTAACGTATTTGCTGTGAAGATTAGGAACGGGTTGATTCCGACTTTCACAAAGCAAACGCGCTCTCACATCCAGAGAAATAAAATTGCCATTTTGTCTGTTTATGTGGTTTGCGTATTTAGATTTTGTTCCAATCAAAAACAAATGCAAAAGACCAAAGGATAAACCTGGGGTCTACCGTTTGTAAAGGTTTTCCCTTAAATTGGTCTAAATTATAGTTCTAGTCGTAGATAAGGTAATACAGTTTAAAACGTTTTTTTGTTTATTTGTTTGTTTAGGCCTATATTTATACGGTATCGTTCAAATTTTATTGAAAAAACAGAACGTAATATTTTTTCTTTCACTGTTTTTACTAAATGCAATGTTTAACTCAATATACGAAATATAAAAGCATTTAACGTTATATATATCATCTTCAAGGCATTTGACAAACGAAGCCTTTAATTGGACTACGGGTTACGAATCTTCAACCGCTACGCCTCCTCCCGCCCGCTATAATTCATATTACTACTAATAATCAATCTCCATAATTTGTAGGCTACAGCTAATTATATGTCATTACATTTGCCACTGTTAAATATATTTACAAATTATTTGCTAGCCGCGTAAAAGCATTGTGTTCTATATTTGCTTGCATTTGTTCAGATAAAATTTTACAGTTGGTTTCTTCGCCCAGTATTTATAAACATTAGGCCTATATAATGAATAATACATACACATAGGCCTACAGAGCGATAAAACATCACGGAATTCATGCGAAGAACAAAATTCCTACATTATCAACTGAAAATAAAGGCTCCACAGGAACATATATTTCCTTTTATATTTCTTGTTTTAACATTCCACTTTGCCGAACTTTTAAAAAATACACTGAAAATTCGTTTCTCTATTTATCTGAAAATAAATAGAAGGTTTTAACCAAGAACAGCTAAATCATAAATAATTGTTACCAATGCAAATTTACATCATTGTATACAAAACTGGGTGTATACAACGCTGATGTTTCTATCACAGGCCTTCAAAGTCTTGTTCGAATAATAATGATTCGCTATTTAAGAGAATCGTGACCACGGTCTGATCAGAAAACAACTATTTATGATTATGCCACAATGTATGCTAATGATGACAGTTGCTTTGTGAAAATGTCTGCATGTAGGCCTATGTGTGTGCGCGTGCGTGTATGCATACTGCAATGAAGAAACATGACTCCGATAGCGTTAGAGGTTTTTCGCTTGTTTACTCTCTACTTTTTGAACTTCTGAGGATCGAAGGTTGGACTGCATTAATCCCTTTAAAGTCATCTGTTCAGGACATCGTACAATTGAAAGATGAACGGTAACCCATTTATATAGAAAAAAGCTGGGTGTGTGTCGGGGGTGGGGGGGGGGCAGCCGTCGGCATATTATTAATCATGAAAGTAAAACATTCACCTGTGTGGGCATACCTATCAGCCCTAGAAAAATCGTTTTATATCATTAACTTTCAAATGTATATTAGGCCTTCGTGATATCAGTTATAAAATACCGTTGATTTTAAAGATATTTTATTCAGTAAAACAACTTTTCTTTAGAAAACAGGCTACACATTTTTGGAAAATATACCATTTATAATGACGGGAAAAAATTCTGTGATAAAAGTCGCAACTCTTATTTTTCTTGTTTGTCATACTGTTTTAGAATCTCGTGGAATCTGCTATTAAGATAACCTAATAATATTTTTAACTATGCATGATTATATCCTTATTTTGTCGGACAGTCTATATCTTATCGCCTTGCCTTTTTTATTGAGAACTCGTTCAGATTTACCTGACCATAAACCAAAACAACTTTCTCTTTGCAAATGGGAGATGATTTTACAGCATGATAAATGTTTTACAAGACCATTTAGTTAAATCTATTCTAGCTAGATCTAGTACTACGTTTAATTTAAGAAACGAAAACGTATAGTGGAAAACATTATTATTTTAGTTTATACAAATTCAAGCATACAGTCAACCCGTTCAGAGATATAGAATGATTATGGCAAATAATTTCTACAAAAAATAAAAACAATTCCCGTTGAATTTTGATTCTGTTAATTATTACATTAAATTTAAAAGACCAATATGGATCGGTTGACATTTGCAAGTTAGCATTTATTGATTTCAAAACACTCGCCATATAGCGGATTCAGCAACTCTGCCTTGTTTCAGGTGGAGTTTTTTTCCTTCTGTCTCTCGTCCTATCCCTCGCTCGCTTCCAGCTCCGGTGCCCTACCTTTGGATACGTCACGTAGCTCTGGGCGTACAAATACCTCGCAGTAAAGTTTCCCAGTGAAGCTAAATCTGAGCACTGTTATATCTGCTATGATACGAAGCAACAGCTATCTATCTCCTGATACTAGGTAGGGCTATATAATTATTGCAGACCAAAAAGCGAATATTAGGGAAGAAACGCTTTGACATTACGCTCACTGGTTGTGTTAAACGAATTCCAGCTTTTTCCTGGAGGATTTACAAGGACTTAGGTGACTTTCGCAGACCTTCCTGAGTAAGTTGCTTGGACTTTTTTTTATCAACTAATTTGGAAATTTCTAACTTAATCATCCTGAATTCCTTATCTAGTGAGATAATGTACGGAAGGAATTGTATTACTCGTCTGTATCGAGCTATCAATGTTTTATATTAGCCTTTGTGATTAATATCATCCATGTTACCAGCGATAAATATGTAATATTTTTGTCCCTTTCGTGAGATGATAACTTTAATAAGAGTGTATGCCTCAAACAGATCTACTGATACTTATAGACCGTTAGCGACAAAATCAATGGAATTAAATTATCATTTTAAATTATTATTGTCCATCAATTCACCCATCATCCATCCACTCATCTATCAAACGTTTTTCGTGGACAAGATCTCGGGGATTATTGTTGTTATTATTAGCAGTAGTAGCAGATGTTTAAAATGACAATTAAAAATTCACCAGATACCTCTACTTTCAGAAAAGCAGCATCTTACATTACCGTTCTTACTGTATGTATGCTTGCGAATTTTAGCGTAAACTGACACACAGAGAAGAAAACATATTTTAAAGACACTGTAAGGCAAGTCAGATCGGTAAGCATAAGATGGAAGGGCATACAGAATATATGAATTTTACAGTAGGAATAGGTTCCGTTTCGTTGATTGTGTCTTCTTTTTACATAGGAGTGGAATACAGAACTGGTCGTCGCTCTGCAGAACCAATCACGAGAGCTACCGAGAAGAGTTTGGAAACTATTTTATTATACAGTTGTTCACAGACGCCTTGTCATTGGAATAGACTCATTATTCCTTCAATATCGCCCCTTCAACTTATATAAAAAGTGAAAGAAGTTGTGCCAGAATGTACCCGAGTCTGGCACTAACCTCAAACCAGTCACCATACGCTCACGACAGCGGGAACTACATACACCCTTCGGCCAGTTCTCCGGTTTATGTGCCCACGACTCGGGTACCCACTATGTTGCCGACAATTCCGTACCTCCAGACTTGTGAGACTGCTCACCAGTCGCACGGCCTCGGCGGACACCACGGCTGGTCACAGACTGGCACGGACAGCTCGTCTTTTAATCCGAGCAGTCCGCACCCGCCCCCGGGCTTCTCCTACTCCCACAGCCCGCCGGTGAGCAGCAACACCGGCAGAGACACGGCGTACCAGAATCCGCTGGTGCTGAGCAACAACGGCCGGCCGGAGCAATACGGCAGCACCTTGGTGCGCTTGGTTGGAGGATCCTACTCGAACCCCTATGCGGCGTACCTGAGCCCGGAGATGGCGACCTCGTGGAGCCCTGGACATTTTGAGAACAGCATGATTAGTTTTCAGGGATGACAAGCGGGCCTGCAAACAAGGAGGTCAAGTCTAGGTGCGTATGAGCCGCATTTTCACTTTTTTTTTTCCCAATTTTCAATTTCAGTTTATTTTTATATAGCGCCTTTCGCAACACAATCGAACTGCCAAGTTTATAAGTAGGCCTAATAGTGTTCTTTACTTTTACTGTTTGCATTAATTTGTTTTGAACAAAGTTATGTATTTCTAAAGCACATTGTAATGGTGACATTGGGCAATAAATCTGAAAAATAGCCTACATCTTTTAAAATACAGTCAGTTCAAGTGCATCATACCCAAGTGCATCATACCCAATATATACATGTTAATCCACATGCATTTGGTAACATATGTAAGTACAACATATAATTAGACATCAACTGCTTAACAATATCGTTTTTTTAAATTGATTTAGTAATATTTCAGATTTTGACGGAATATACAAATGCTATTCAAAAGCACAGGAAAGCGTTGTTTCTAAAGCGAATTATTGAAGGAAATTAGTTTATTCTCAACGTGTCGCTTTGTTTCCCAAATCATCGCCTATTGTATCACACCCTTTAGACTAGCTACAACTGGCAAAAGAGCCCATCAGAAACAACACAGCGAATACCATCTTTGTTCTGTCGTTCTAATCCACATTCTTTAAATTAAACAGCCGCCAAACCCATTCACCCGAGATTCTAATTAAATTTTCAGCCACAATCTGTTTTCGTTTCAGATGCTGATGAAAGAGCAGGCTACAATACGCGCTCGCTGAAAACCCAACCTATTTTTGCCAAAACAATTGTCACCTTAAACAGAGTAATCGTCCTTCAAATGTGTCAAATACACACTTTTCGTTGTGTTATTGTAGCGGCGAAGAGTTTTTCGAATTATTAAATTTTTAAAATATATCAAGAAATAAACCAATGATTAAGGTGTATTATATGTCTGTATATTTTCGTTTAGTTTACCCATGAATTTACTTCGGACGATTCAGATAAAACTTACAGTAACTTACAGTGCCTGAAGACTAAATCAAAATCGCTGGATGGGAAATTTTTGAACAGCAATACATGTACGTTTTATTTAAGTAGTCCTAGGCCTAAATAAAATCAATTTGCTGCATAATCATAATAAATGCAGACCGGTTAGATAATGGCCTAGAATGCTGCTATTAAAATAGGGAGACGATAGGAGATACGCATCATTTTTATTTTAAACATTTTTTCCTCGCTGTTTTGAGTAGGAATTTGATCCAGTAATTGTAGGCGGCCGCCGCCTGTCAGAGGCCAGATTGATTTGGGACCTAAATCTTTAACACTGATAAGATCCCCATCGACATTCCGCAACTCCAGGTCCCGTGGTGTCTCTGCTATAGGCGCCGAAATTCTTTAGCTCTGTAGACCTACAGTTAATTCTGCATCCATAACAGCATGAAAATAATGCTCCATATTAAATGTACAAAATATATTAATTATAAATACTCGTCGGCCACTAGCATTAAATATCAGGAAATAAAAATAATAAATAAATAATGTAAAATGATTAATTTCGATGTTAATAAATTAAGCGTTTTTGCATGTCACTTAAACGAATTATTATGTTAATGACTAAATATTAACTGAAATTCTAAAATAACTCGATGTCGTATAACAAGATTACGACAATTGGTCTTATGGGGTCCGCTAGAATCTTCTTGCATTTAGCATTAACCTGAAGTAATCTGTTTTCAAACTGTGCTGTTATGTAATCATTGTTTAGAAGGTTATTGAAAGTTTAGCAGCATGAACAGACCTATAAATAACACCGTATTAAATAATGTAAAATCTATGTTATTGTTAACACTGCATCAGAAACATACGATTTAAGAAAAAAACAGTTCGTGATTTAAATGCTGTGATTGCATTTCCTTCCAGACATGCTGGATGAGTTACCTGGCGAAGGGCGGGAGTGCGTGAATTGCGGGTCCATCTCCACTCCTCTGTGGCGGAGAGACGGCACTGGGCACTACCTGTGCAACGCCTGCGGACTGTACCACAAAATGAACGGCATCAACAGGCCGCTCATTAAGCCACAGAAACGCCTGGTAAATCTATATTCCCTTAGTAATATCGTATGTCGGCCTACAAGAACCATAATTCATGTAATAATTAAGTAGTATTAAACAAACATTTGTTGAAATTCAAATAGGAGTAATTGAGTAGTGCCGGGAAATCAAAAATGTCTCAGGTTAAAAAAAAAACAGTCAAGGCTAGCGGCTTCTTAGCGAAGGTCAGCTTTGTGTGTGAGGGAGTCCTTCGGAATGCCCCTTTCCCAGGAACCAGGCACTTGATAGCAGCTGTTGTGAATTATTTCAGATTTTTGTTTTTATTTGTCCTTCAGTGTCCTTGTCCTTGGCTGTTTGTTTTTAGCAGAACTGCAATAGGCTCAGCCACAATATGGTCACCTACCGTTCTGTTGTTAAAGAATGTTCCCAACTTCTGATATGGGTGCCGTGAGGGCCAAACAGCAGACCAGGCAGCAGAAACAACCTATTGAGATGTGCAATTCTTTCACAAGCAGGAGCTCTGCTACTTGGAAATTTTTTGTTTGATCAGTTTGGTATCACTTGATTGATTTAGTTTTTAATGTGATGTCTTGCAATAACTAGTGCAGTGTTCCATACAGGCATAGCACACAAGGCAAAATCAGCACCGTTAATTAAGCTCACTGTGTTCATGCCAAAATTGCAGGTTTTTTGTAAACACTTAGTGGGAGTTTGACATACATCACTTACTTTCACTCTGGTTTTCATTCTTAACAGTTGGTTGACACGATATATCTCTAGGTGAGATTGGTTAATCTCCCCGCTGCTAAAGGTGCACTTTAAAACTCAGGCAAAATACTGTTATATTTTAAAATCATGACTCAGCGCAGTGTAATGTGTTCCACGTGTTTGTGCTTAATGACACATCATTCCAGGAAAGTTTTGTTTTCGCTCGGCGCTTTTGCTGCTTGCTTGTTTGGCACCCTGTGCCTCCCTAATCCGCTGTTTGCCCCTCCCCAACCCAGCAGTCATCCTCCAGACGGGCCGGGCTTTGCTGCACCAACTGCCACACCAGCACCACCACGCTGTGGCGTCGAAATGCAGAGGGAGAACCTGTGTGCAATGCTTGTGGGCTCTACATGAAGCTGCATGGGGTACGTACCAAAGCACACACCACGCACCCCTCACTCTGCATCCTGGCCACCCTCCTGCCAGGAAGTTGTGTCCTTGCTGTCCTTACACTGGTCTGCTATTGATCTTACTGGCCTAAAGTCCATCGCCTGAATGTGAGACGGTGTTTACTGAGGCCGTAGTTCTTGGTATGAGAAAAGTGAGAAACGATTGTGATATACATTTATAGGCTAAAAAGGTCTTCTGGAGGATACAACTTTAGCAAGAAGTTCTGTTAGTAAATCCCTCCACCTCCCGTTAGGTACCTAGACCCCTGGCAATGAAGAAGGAAGGAATCCAGACCCGGAAAAGGAAGCCGAAGATGACAAAATCCAAAGCCTCATCAGGTAATATTTGCATCCTGTTCAGTAGATTGTAATTTTTTTTTGCCAAAAAATAACATAGACATGCTAAATTTTGTTGTATACACCTGAATTCTGTGAGATAAGGCAAACACCTAGACCAGTGTTTTCCAATCTGGTTCTCAGGGACCCACAGATGGTCCATGTTTTTGCTCCCTCACAGCTCCATGGGAGTAAAAATGTGGGCTGTTTGGCAGGGAGCTTGGAGGGAGCAAAAACATGGTGGGGAAACACTGACCTAGATTGTTCTATCTTTGACAGGCCCAGGGTCAATCACTCCTGGTACCAGCTCCCCCTCCTCCGTGCCAGTCTCTGAAAACGCCTCCACGATAAAAAGCGAGCCCAGTATGGTGCCTTCACCCTATGCTGGACAGACTGTAGTTTCCATCTCACAGGTAAGATACCACACCAGAGCCAGGAAAAAAAATATTCTGGAATATGTCCCCAGCTGTCACGTTCACTGTGTTTTTACTATATACATATTATGTATATTAAATTATAACTAATAATAGCTATAGAGAGCAACACATCTTATTTTTGGCATATTTGTTTTTTATCAGTAAAAAAACGCTGCACACATTGTGGACCCTTAAATTTCTGGAACAGTATTGAGTCAAAAACTGAAATCATTAGTATTGTGTGTCAGGTAATATAATTCAGCTTTGATCAGTGTTTCTTGTATGGAAACGGATTTTTGGAAATGAATTTCTCTTTTATTTTTTTGCAAGGTGTCGTCACAGCTGGACACTCTGAGTTCTGGTCAAACGGACATCAAATATGAGGACTACAGCTTCACGCCCACGTCCTCCACTCCGCAGAACTCTTGGTGTGCTTTATCACTGGCGTGAGCCGTGAGCGTCTCTTACCACTGTGCACACAGGACTCACCACACCCAAATGTCTGTGACCAGTGCCAACACTGCCTTAATTATTATAGTGAAAGACTGAAACAATCGATTGCAGTTAGTATAACAAGTCTATTAGTGTTTTTCTTTTTTCCCCGTACCTGTGGCATTTTGAAGTGGTACATTTTTTTTTTTTTTTTTTTGGTGGAGACGATCCTGTCTTGAAGGTATTATGAGCTGTAAAATTGAAAGAAACAGAAGGAGAAAAAAACAACAGTTTATTACCTCTGAACCTGGTTATTGTTATAGTGTAAATAATTAACTTTGTGAGAACATAATATTTATGTTAAAAAAAGGACAGTAAAAACATAAAGGTGTGTGCGTGGAAGTAATATTTGAGCTTAGGTCGCTGTGGTCTTTAGCTGTAAAAATTAAAATTGTCAGTAGCTTCCAGTGATTATTTTATTATTAACAGTATTCTTGATTGATGCAAAATATCAATGCAGCTTGTCTTTAAGTTTGGTTTATGGATTTCAGACACTTTTGTGTTTTTCTACCTACTCAACTCCATGCTTGTTTGAGAGTAAAAGAAGTGTGTAACTATTCTAAAGAAAATCCTCCGTCCTCAGATTAATCACATTACGTATAAATGAAACACTGTGCATTTCTCTAATTTCAAGTGCAATGAGTATTAATACCTTCCAGGAGGTGAAAAAGGGTGACAATGAAAATTGTTGAATTTTGTTTGAATCTAAATTTATTTTCTCTACTTGATAATAGAATATTAATGTTATTATATTGCTTTACAGAAGTGCGTTGGCTTGTTTTCCTTTCGGTTTCACAAGCTCGGGAGCTTCAGTTTATGTGAATAAAAACAGTCTGGGGAAAGTGTTATACACCAGCCTGTGAGAGAAACGTACTCTGTCAGTGTTAATGGCTAAAATGTGTATCAAACGGAGACAACTGAGCACACTGAAGTAAATAATCTTTTTAATAAGAAAGAATTATAAATATTCTTGTGGTTAGCTCTGGTTTGTTTTGGGTTCATCATTTATTTTTTATTTGTGTTTAAAACATATTAATTTCTATAACTTTTGGGCGATTTCCATACAGGATTTATAGTCGGACAGAACAGCTAGGGGTCAACAGAACATTATTTTTTTACTCTTTCATGGATAATAATGAGTTGGAAGATGGATTGGTGGGTGTATATTTTTATTTATTTATTATCGTTACAGTTTTTTTTTTTTTAAGACCCATTTATGATATATGTCCATCGTTCCATCTTATCCTGGTCAGGGTTGGTGGTGGGGGGGAATCCACCCTATCCCAAGCAGCACAGAGTCCGACGTTGGTGTACACCCTGGAAAGACGCACACACAATCCATTCACGATGGGCCATTCAGAGATGGCGATTGGCCTAAGTACATATCTTTGGACTGTGGGCAGATTCCTGAGCGACACGGGGAGGACACGTAACCTCCATACACAGAGTGGAGGCCTAGTTTGAACCCCCTCCCCCCTCCAACTCTAATGCTAATGCTGAATTAAATAACACATTCGTCATGGGTGAAGGCTGACAGCTTCACATGTAAGTTCAGGCCAATGATCAGTAAGTTATGAGTTGCTTTGATGACACTCTTGTCCTCAGAAACAATGTTTTTAACCATTAATATGCCAGGATGCCTGTATGTAGCAATTCCTGCTTATTTACAAAGAGTAAATAATGGGGCACCTTTGGGTAGCTGCAGACGGAGTCCAGCCTGACCAGAAAGCTCTCTGCCACCTTGATTAGAAACTATACACATCTGTCATCCATCCATCCATCCATCCATCCATCTGTCCATCCTCACCACTTATCCAGTGCAGCGTCTGGGTGAGCCTGGACTTCCCATGAAGCGCAGGGCACAAAGTAGGGGACAATCATGTATATGTTAAGGAGATAAGCAGCACACAGCAGAAGCGTATTAAGTGTTACTTGTGTCTTACGCGAAGTGTGTGCCACAGTATCCTGCTCACATGGCTGCTGAGCAAAGGTTACGTTCCAACACCACTTTATGACTCGGTTAGTGCATGTTCTTCCGAGTCAGCAAACGTGTGGCCTCATTTATTGCCTTCTGGGCACGGAGGTAGTTCGGATCTACAGCCTCCCATAGCGTCTGTGGATTGTTTTATTTGTCTGTGTCACGACGGGGTCTGTGCTGTCAGAGTTGTGGTCCCGGGTTTCTCTGGGAATGTAAGCACAGCCATGTTTATTAAAGTCCTCCAGTTAAGAGAAGGATAGCCGGCCTGCGCATGACGTCCCCCCTGGAGGAAGGTGCCACACAGGCAGCCTGCCACTGTGCTGCAGTGGACAGAGCGAACACTGGGGAGTGTCACCACTGAGGGAAGAGGATACCACATGGGGCTGTCACTGTGATGTCATCAACAATGAAGGGGAAGCTAATGCAGAAAATAACCACTGCATCCATCTATTTTTAGTTACATATTTATTGTTAGTTTGTGTGGCTAGTACCTTAATCTGAAGCAGCGTTTTTTTGTTTTTTTTTACCTTAGAGAGGTCACAAATGGATGTTGTAGGAGTGAGGATATGTTGCCTTAGAGTCCACATACTTATCTTATGCTTTTATCCAACAAAACGTACAACTGAGACAGCAGAGACGCCCTTCCTCCAAAGCCCAACAGTAAATCACTCTGCCGACCGCAGAATCTCGACTGGCGGCCTTCCAGTTTCAGGCGTCCTAACCAGGGGAGTTTCTAGCTATTGAAAAAAATCAGGGACTAAGTCCAGTTACCTGGGGCTTGAGTGGCATCAAGGGCAAAATGCTCAGGGCTGAAAATGATCGGACCAAACGACGCCTATGGCGTTAACCCCTCAGAGCCACATACCACCATATTACAGCCTAAATGCTTCGCGGGTGCAGTATTGTATCCCAGCGCACACATGCTTAGTAACAATTAGGATTCTTCAGTAGTATTATGTCTGAGGGCTGGTGAACGTGAGAAGCTGGAGATGGCTGTTCATGCCCATCAAGGGCTTGGATGGCTCAGTTCTGCAGATGTATGAGTGCAGGATTTGCTGGTTCTTGCTCTGCTTTGCATGAATATGTCATGTGATAAATAAGGGCCTGGATAAGCTGACCCCCCAACTCCACTATTGCCCCCACCCCCACGCATGCACACAATCCTCCACGTGCCCCTTGCCTCTCTGCCGGCCTACAGTAAAGTGATCAAACACCATTGTCCTTGTGTAAGCGCTGCTGGCCTCTTCAAAGGGCCTGGCCGTGAGCGAGAGGCAGACAGCCTCACACTGGGGAGCGAGGTCAGGGGCTGCTTACGGCCGCGTTTACATTCAATTGTCTCCGGGTGAGTGCTTTCATTACTGCTTCATCATTGTAAAACGCTAAGTGGTTTGTTCAGAGTTAAAAAGATTTCAGGTGAGTGTGTTGTCCTTATCTGGCCTATCACTCTCTGTTATTTTGGCTCTAACAGGGAGTTTGAACCTTTTTATGTAAACTTGGAGCTGGTAAGAGAAAACCAGCCAGAGCTGAGGCTTCCCCCTTAAGATGTAGGCCCCTATATGATGGCATCATACTTATTACATGTGACTATATGTATTTATGTTTACATGTGTAAGTGCACTTGTGTAGGTTAAGGTTTGTCTATTAGTTTGCGTTTTATGTTTTTTTTCTCCCTTTCTGCTTTTTTTTCGCCAGTAAAGCAGATTTCCCAGGATCTCAGCCCCGGAGTTCCTCCCTTGCTTCCCAGTTTGTCACCCTGCCTTCCTCTGATGGATTCAATGTAATTCCAATAAAGGACGGAGAAGGAAAAAAAAATAATTCCAGGCTGAGATAGCGTATGTGCCTCGGAGGTGATAGCGAGAAATGGCTCTTCCTCCTACGAGGTTGTAGAAACAGGCCCATTTCCCAGGGTCGTGCTCCGCAGTGATTATTCTCATCTCTTCCTCTTCCAATCTGTCGTCTGCGGCGGAAAACAGGATACAGTCGTCAACCCTGGAGCACTATGCTGGCATTGGACCTGCACTTAGGTAACATTCGCTTTCAATCAAAACTTATGTACACTGTCCCTTTAGGATTGTCCTGCAGTCCCAACCATCCTCACTGGCCAAAGAGTCCTAAATGACACTGAAGTGAGGAACAAAGCATGAACATTCCAGAATTTTGCCCCCTGATTCAAGGTTTGCCATTGCTATGAGTGTCATCTCCTTGGAACTGCACTCTGGAAATGTAATTATTCACGTTTGGTGTGTTCAAGTCAGTTTGCAGTGCACCTTTGTTCCTGCACAAGGTGGAATTTCAAGGTATCACAGGGAGCTGGTATTATATCTCATATTTGCTCAGCTCCACTACAGAAAGCTGAGCCCTTAGCGGTTTCACTGAGAGTATTTCCTTGATTCAGGGGTTTAGTTAAGGGGGAACCAGTAAATGTGATGCAATGCAAGTCACAACGCAAGTCAGAGGAGTCGGTCAGCCTCATCCATACTGCTGCCCAAGCATACTGTTGAACAACAAGTTATCGTGTGATTGTGTTATATAAGCCCTTTGGAATAGAGGCGACGAGGGCTGTAGGGGGTGTGGTTGTTCCACATGCAGAATGGCTGAGTATTACACGAAGAAGGGTGTTTCGGAGCTGATAAGGACTTAGTCAGCCAAACGGGCGTCAGCGTGCCCCTGTAAACTGTCCAGGGAGAGTCACACGGCAGCTAACGGGAGCATCCCAGCAGGTAAGGGGGGCTGCGGGTGAGAGCCCTCCGGTGACTCTAATGGCAGCAGAAAGGCAAGGGCCCTGGATGGAGGTTCTTGTAAATGTCGGATGAAGCTGGTGCAGTATCCAGCGCTCTCTGGGCCCGCGGAGTTAAATGAGCCCAATGTAATTCTGGGACCCAACATTTAAACAATAGAGGCTAAAAATATTCCATCATACACAAAGGAACTTGTTACTAGAAACTGATTCTAATTTAGGCATTCCTGGATTTGGCTTTTTATTTTTAGATGATTAATCTGTACATTCATGTTGGATGTATAGTGACATAAAATGTGCCTTTTCTCTTTCTTAAGAGTGCTTTTGATATTTAGTTACAGCAATAAACAAGGCTATTGAATAACCCAAAAAGCCAGGGATGTAAATACAAGCATTCGCTGCATTGTTATTATATGTATTTGTAAGCAGTGTGAGGTGAAGGAGTCACTGAGAGTATAATTTACCAAAATGACTCCATCTCACTTGCACAGATCCTGAAGTACCTCCTTCCCTAAAAACCCTGGACACAGCCCCCCCCCCCCCCCCCCCCCCCCCACCCCCACCCCACATACCTTGGATGCGTATGACCCCCCCAAGCACCCCCGCCCCCGCCCCCTCCTAAGTACGCTGCAGTCTGATTCATGGGCACCCTGCTGCTAAAAACAACACAGACGCACACGTTTGTGTTGACAGCTTCGCGGGGTCTCCCCGAGACTTCCATTATATTTTGATTTACTATTCTGTCCTTCAGACAAATGAAGAGCCTTATTTTTCACAGAGCTGCATGAGTTTCATCACTTATAAGAGCTGCAGGGCCTCCACAGTGACCTCTCTAGGAGGGAAATCTTAACTCTTAACTGTAATGATGTTTCTAATGAAGTATGCGGCATGGCAGAGATGCATTTTACCGGCCGTGAGTTTAAATCTTTTCATATCTCATATTCTGCTGTATTCATAAGTGGATATGTCTGCACAGGGTTCTTCTCAGCGTGGTCTGGCTCACAATATGAATCCAATTATTATTCTGTTGCTTAATAGCTCTATATTATAGATTTTCCACCTGTCAGCAACCTAGAAGCAGCCCTGACTTTTTAACACGTTTATTTCATCAAAACAGAGAATAAATATGCTGGACAGGCTGAAAAACATGTCAAAGCTCAAGAACAGAATGCGGGCCAAAGGCGCGTACCATAAACTAAAGTGCATGAAAGGGATAATTGCAGGGGAGGGACTGGGCAGTCGC